CTAAATATCCTATAGGTCTGAATACTTATCCCAAAGAACATTCTGGAAAGCCTGGTCTTGGTGAGAATGTAGGGCTCACAGGGGTCTTAAGAACTGCCTCTGAGGAGCTCAGTCAGACTCCCCCAAAATTCAAACGAGTTCAAACTGGGTCTAGAAGGAAGCCAAAACCTTGAGCAAACCAGTCTAATAGATAAAACAGAAGTGATCAAATCCACAGTAGCCGGGTAGTCCCAGGCTCCTCCCCCTGACCTTCACCTCCACTCTGATCACTGCACACAGCCTCCAGCAGCTGGCTGAGAAGCTGTGTGACCTCAGGTGAGACACACAACCCCTCTGGGCCTGCTTCCTCATGTATTCTGTCTCAGAAAATAAAAATAAATAAATAAATAATACCAGGTCTGCATTCTCCCTCCATTTCTTCCCAGCATGGAAGGAAGTGGCTCAGAGATGACAGCACTCATTCATTCCCTGCAGAGCACAAGGAGGAACATGGGAAATGATGTCATTCAGAGGCTGCCACTTACCCCTGAGCCTTTTATCTCCCAGGCCCATTATTTGCTTACCTAGAGGAAGAGAGGCAAGAATATAACACCCCTGCAGTCAGCTCTAGCCGAAGGGAGCAGGCTTCCCCCAGAAATTGGAAGCCCCGTCTCACTCCGTCATTTGTGATTTGCAGACAAGCCTGGGCTCACACAGCCCCCACTACAGGCAGGTAAATCATCACAGTGAGTTGTGAGGAAAGAGAGAGGGTCTCTCCGTCTCTCACTTATCATTAGCACCTTTGTACATGAGCAACACCTGAGGTGATATCCACATAATGATCCAACAGCCAGAGGACTCCACTGAACAGAGAACTCAGTGATTCAGAAACAAGATGATCCTGACTGGGTTGTTTGAGCAGAAAGGCAAAACAGCTGGCCACCCGGAGGACCTGGGAGGTCTGAATTTCACCCAGCAACACTACATAAAACTGGGCACACTGTCTCACCCTGCTACCTGCTGGGGGGGTGGGGCGGGGGGAGTATTCAAAGGTGGGTTTCCATATGCATAAAATTGTCCAGAGGAAGATTAGGTAATTACCTTTCTGTGGGTTTCAGATCCGCACAGAAATTTCCGTGGACCTGCTCAGAAAACAGAAGAAAATATTAACAGTGCTTCATAGAAGTCCCTCTCAGGAGCACTGCCAACCAGCTTTCTATGAGGTAATGTAAATCCTGTAACTACATTATGTGGGGGGAAAAAAGATGGTCCAGACACTACTGAATGTGCTTTCCTGATTTTTTTTTTTTTAACACAATGTACATTTTCTCTGGGTGACCTTTTAGATGAGATTTTTATCTTCCCCAGCCTTCAATTCTGACTTCCATAAAGCAAGCGCAGGAATTCCTGCCTTGCTGAGGCAGGAATCAGTAACAAATTTGTCATCAAATGCAGGGAACAATAGTTGGTACAAAGATATTAGTACTCCCTAGACACCACTCTATCACCGAGTGCTCAGAGCACGGACTGAGAATGGGCCCAGCTCCCTCTAAGGTGGTGTTCTCAGCTCGGGAAGGTCAGAGAGAAAGACATCTGCAACAAGAAGCTCTTGAGAAGATGATGTGGAAATGCATGCTCCAGAAAGAAAGTGCCATGAAGGAGGTAATGATTTGGGAAGTGCTGTTTCCTGGCCTCTGAGCATCCCAGCTGTGGGGCGTGGGTCCTCCCTTCCCAGCGGCCCCATCCTGGCTGTGTTCTTCTGGTTTGTACTTTTATGACTCTGGGGTCTTTCCTGAGGCACCAAACGGGACACCAGTGTTGAGGCCCCACAGAGATAAATTTGGAAGGGAATATTTTCCAACACACCAGGTAAAAGTTATTTCTTCGTGGGCTTCCATTCTCTCATCTGCCAAATGAAGAAAATGTGGTAAACCAAATGCATTCAAATCTTTCTTTGTTTAATGATGGAAACCTGTTCCCAAAAGAAATGAAGCACCTTGTTGTTTACCAGAGTTAGAAGAATTGCTGCTTTGTCTGAAGATGGGGCTGAGGTGGCAGCATCCCACCTGCTCAGCCGTCCCTTCATATCCCACTGCTGTGTCCCTTTGAGACAGCTCAGGAAAGCTGAGGCTCTGAGGAGCAGGGCTGAACAGCCGCCGAGGTCCTTTCCAGCTCAAGGGTTCTGTGTCTCTGGGGAGGATCCTGGGTACTTTCCTCAAGCATAGAGAGGAGCCTGGTGAGCCACCACTCCCAGTGTCTTGGGCCTCACTGAGCCCACTCTGAGGGCCCTGTGCACAGTGACCGCTGAGCACTGAGTAGTCCCCCTGATGCTTGCCTGTTCACCACGCCACATTCAAACACAGGACATCAGACAGAAGTGGACACAGAAACTGACAGGCAAGCTTGGGACTTTCAGGAGTGTTCTTAGAATAATGTAGGTTTTCCCACTGAGACAATCACTGGGACATTGCAAGTTGCAGCACCACTCTCCAGGAGAGAGCTGCCAGATGAACGTATCCCTCTCGGCAAATGAGGCCAATCAGAGCATGACAGTGTCTGTTCCTGAGTTGAGTGAACAAAGCTGTGCAAGTTTAATGGGACATGCCAAGGGCTGGACTAAAAGGTTGTGACCATTCTTGGGGGAAAAAAGTGCTGTGGTTAGCCAGTCACGACAGCCTAAATCATACTAGATAGGGGGATATTGCTATACATTTATAAGGCATATGAATATTTAGAAATATGAATTTGTGGTTATTTCACATATGGAAATATGCAGAGTAATCTTTTAAGAGCTTCAAAGAAACTTCTGATTCAGAAATAGCAAAAAGAAAGTCCTGTGAGGTCATCAAGTCCAGCGTGCCCTAAAAGATAGATCACAGACCACCAAATTTCCATACAAAAAGAAAGGTTCTGTGGCTAGATAATGATGGCAAATACTGCCTCAAGAGAGACAGTTATCAAATCATAAAATAGGATAATAGACTTGAGAGATAATTCAAGATGTCTACCGTAGAAAGTTCCGGAATAAGTTATGGCCAAAGGGAGGACAAGTCTAGAAGAAATGCCACAGTGTCAGCCTCAATCACAATCCAGCTGAAGGCATAAAAGCTACATTATCTGTCACATAACTGTCCCTGCAGACACAGCAGACAGTAAGTAGGCTGGCTACATATCTTCAACTTTTTAATTTATGTACTGAGCATTCCAAAAGAAAAAAAAAATCTAAATAAGCCCAAATCTCTTTTTAAGGTATTTAAATTAAGACAGCCTAAAATAATTTTTCTGTTTCAGTGGAGCCAAAGGTGATGGACCTCCAGGAGGTGATGAGCCACAGCCATGCTTAAGTTGTATTTATGAGGATGTAGAGAAGATTCAAAAATGATGGGAGCAGACAGTGGCAGGACAGAATAACCACCATAACAGCAGTGCTGAGAGGAAAGATGCATAAATTCCTGCTCTTAAGATTAATAATCTGGGACTTCCCTCGGTCCTCAGTTTCCATTAGACCCCATCACAGGAGATGGGACCCATGAGAGAAACCAGGGTTGTATACCCAAGCCACTGCTCATCAAATCTGATACATGTTGATTTTCACACATTAGTGGGGTTGCTAATTGTTAGAACTTGAGGAATTTGGTATTGTCTTTAAGTCTGAAATAGCAGGACTTTGGTTTTGCCTTATGACCCATGGAATTCCCAGGATCAAAATCAACAGGCAGCCTCAACAGTTTCTATGGAAGTCCTATAGCTAGTAGAAACCCCATATTTTACAAACGAGTCCTTAAACCTCATTTGGTCTTGGAAACCTGGATGGAGTGGCCTCCACCCCACTGCCCAGAGATGTGATCCTGGAGAACAGAGCCCAGAGCCACCAGTAGCCGGCAAGGAAACTCGCTCTCTACCAGAGAGGGGAGGATCAACCCAATTTCTCTAGAAAACTGGTTCTACCAAATACTATACACCTCCTTTCCACAAACTACCTCTAGAGTATAGACACTAAAAAGGAAAGTACACATAGAGGACTTATGGGCAAGAGGACCAGCAAAGGATGGTGAGACCCACAGTGTGTTGGAGTTACAACATGACCGTTTCAATCCCGGCATCCTCACTTGCAATTTATTCTTTGATAAGTCAGTTTAACTTTCTGAACCTCAGATAACACATTTCAAGAGTGAAACTCACATTGGCTATTCCAATCGTTATGAGTGAAACTCACTTTGGATTATTGGGAGAAACCAATCATTAAGTTAATGTAGAAATGTCCACATTATTAATGTGGAATCTAAAGGTTTCACAGACTCACTTTCTGTCCTAGGCCCTCAAAAAAAGAGATTTAAGACAGATGATGACCTGGTTCATAGGAGAGCAAAAATAGGTTACAAAATTACTCACAAGGAATTGTTCGAGTAACTGGGAATGTTTAACTTGAAAAAGAGACAACAGATAAAAATGGGCATTATCATTGTCTGTCTGGGAAGAGAGTGGTTTTACCCCACATGCAGAACCAAGTATAATACCAATGTGTAGAAGGTACAAAAAGAGCAATTTGGCTTTCTGAACAGACAGGATTTTCCAAAGGTGGAGTGGCCAGAGAGTCCCCATCACACAAAGAATTAACACAGGGCCCTGCATCTGACAATACCCAGTCACTCAGGCACAGCCCAAGAGGCCAGAAGAGGCATGCCTAGGCTAGATGAGATTTGCTGGGGGTGTTCTAGAAGAAACTCTATACTCATCCTTCCCATCTTGATAGTCTATGGTTCTCTGGTCTTAGAGACCATTCCAGATAATAAACAAGTGAATTTGAAGAAATACTGACCCAGGCCCAACTTCAGGAGGGGTCCAGGAGCAGGTGAATGATAATAACTGCCAGGTGTGGGTTCTTAATGATATTTTCTTCTGTCTCTGAGCAGAGAACACCTGAGACATTTACCTAACCCCTGACACTGAAGAAAGCAAAGACTCTCAATTCCAAAACCTCCAACTCCATTCTCTCCAGGCCAACCAGCTACATGGAGCCTATGGCCAGACAGAACCTCACCACTGTGACAGAGTTCATTCTGGTGGGCTTCACTGACCATCCTGAATTGGCTGCTCTGCTCTTCTTGGTGTTTCTTGGTTTCTATCTCGTCACTATTCTGGGGAATGTGGGACTGCTTATTCTAATCCGAGTGGATGTGCGACTCCACACCCCCATGTACTTCTTCCTGAGCCACCTTGCCCTGCTGGATGCCAGCTATGCCTCAGTCATCACTCCTCAGATTCTGGCCACACTGGCCACAGAGAAAACCGTTATCTCCTATGGCCGCTGTGCTGCCCAGTTCTTTTTCTTCACCCTCTGTGCAGGCACAGAGTGTTACCTGCTGGCAGTGATGGCTTATGACCGCTTTGTCGCCATCAGCAGTCCACCGCGCTACACCGTGATTGTGACTCCAGGCACCTGCAGGGGCTTATTGGCTGGTGCCTACATCTGTGGGGTTTCAGGGACCATCCTCCGTACCACGTGTACCTTCACCCTGTCCTTCTGTCACAACAATCAGATTGACTTTTTCTTCTGTGACCTCCCACCCCTGCTGAAGCTCGCCTGCAGCAGCATGACACAAAGTGAGATTGTCATTCTCTTTTTTGCAAAATTCATGTTCCTAGCCAATGTCATGATCATCCTGATCTCCTACACGCTCATCATCAGAGCCATTCTGAGGATGAAGTCTACTGGGGCACGAGCCAAGACCTTCTCCACCTGCACCTCCCACCTCATCACTGTTGTCCTCTTCTTTGGGACACTTGCCTTCATGTACCAGAGAAGTAACTCAGACAAATCCCCAGAGGAGGACAAAATTGTTTCTGTCTTTTACACTGTCATCATCCCTATGCTGAACCCCTTGATCTACAGTCTGAGGAATAAAGACGTAAAAGCTGCATTCATAAAAGTTGTCGGAAAACTCAAGCTCCCAAAGAACGTAGCTTTGGGTGAGAGTCCTTCGTCCTGACCCATCTTCTCCCCAGATCTTCAGATTCTGAGGGGCACCAACACCACAGGGTGCTTGCCCCTGAGAATGGACAACAGGTAGCTTTCTTCACCACATGAAAGTGGACAGGAGACATTTGTTTGGATGACTTCCACCTCCCTTTTCTTTCCCTTCTCCTTCTTTCACCCTCCCAAACTTTCTGGGATCTAGGAATACTCTCTGCCATCACAGAGGTTTAAAGTACATGGTCATAACCAACCTGATTCCACATCCATCCTCCAACCTCCAACTCACTATTCTTCGGTTTTCCCAATTGCCCCTTTTTCATCCTTTTGTCACTGCGCTCACAGACTCTGGTTTTCACCCTTTATAGAAAATTATTGCTGTGAAGTGTACAAATGGGAGAATAAGAGTTGTTTTTTTAATTTATGATATGGGTCACCTGTCAACTTATTATGAAGTTGATGAAAACAAACCTGTAAACCCAATGGAATTTCTACTTGGTACAGGTTAGAGTGGTAAGGGAAAGGTTGCTTTCTTCTGGCTACTCCTCCTCTCATGTCTTCCTAAATGATTTCTAATATCTTCAGGACTATAATATGAACTTCTCAAGTGACAATTCTCTATATTCTGAACTCTAATTCCTTTGTTTGTTCTCCTCCTAAACACAGTGCCTGACTCATGAAAATTACTTACTCTCAATAGACACATTCCCAGAGTCTGCAAGGTCAGCAATGATAGACCTGTAATAAATAGCCATAAGGACTCAGGAAGCAATAGTCTCTGTGGTTAGGGAAGTAAGCAATTACTGCCCCCGCCAGATGGTGAACTCCTTGAAGATAGAGTCCTAATACTTCACTTAATAGTCTCTTCTCTAAATTGCTGTTTCTAGTATAAAAACTACTAGACACTCATTGAGTTAAAGAAGATAAAAATAAATGTAAAAGCATCCCTCATTCCTGAACTGACATAATTAATATTATCAAAATGTCCATATTACCCAAGGCAATTTATATATTCAACACTATTCCCACCAACATTCCAATGGCTTTTCTTACAAAAAAATACCAAAAAAAATTTTTTTAAGGTATTTGGAACAATAAAAGATCCAGAATTGCCAAAACAATCTTGAGGAAAGAATAAGCTTCCTGATTTCAAAATACATTATAAAGCTACAGTAATTCAAACAGTATGTTACAAGCATAAAAACAGACATATGGATCAATGGAACACAAAAGACAGCTCAGAAATAAACCCACACATACATAGACAATTAAGCTTTAACAAGGATATCAAGAATATGTGATGTGGAAAAGATAGTCTCTTTAACAAGTGGTAGTGAGAAAACTGGATATCCATATGCAAAATAATGAAATGTGACCCTATCTTATGCATACACAAAAATCAACATGAAATGGATTAAAAACTTAAAGGTAAGACCTAAAACTATACAGCTCCTAGAAGAAAACACAGGGGAAAAATTTCATGACATTGGTCTTGGCAATGATGTCTGAATATGACATTAAAAGCACAGACCAAAAAAAATCAAAAATTGACAAGTGGGATTACAACAAAACAAAAAGCTTCAACACAGCAAAGCAAGCAATCAAAAGTAAAAATGCAACCCATGGAATGGGAGAAAATATTTGCAAATTTTATAAGGAGTTAATTTCTAAAATATATAATAGAACCTATATAGTTGACCACCTCATTAAGTTGACCTAATTTTCATAGACTGGACATGTGCCATAGGTACATATAGTGCAGTATGCCTAGTTCCTCATATTGACTGCCTCAGTATGTTGACCAATTTGTTACAGTCCCTTGAGTGGTCAACTTAGGTTCTATTGTGTAAGAAACTCCTATAATGTCATTGTAAAAAAATCAATTAAAAAAGACACAAAGGGAAAAAAATGCACAAAGGAACTAAATAGATACTTCTCCAAAGACTACCTACAAATGGCCAATAGGTATATGAAAAGATGCTCAACATCACTAATCATATGGGAAATGCAAATCAAAACCACAATGAGATATCATTTCATGACCAATTAAAAAAAGAGTAAAAAAGAAAAAGAAATAAATATAGGCAAGAATGTAAAACTAGTGGAAACGTTGGACATAGGTTGACCTCCATGAGATCAATTCTTTTAGTTTCCATGTAGAGTGAGACCATTTGACATTTATCTTTCTGTGCCCAGCTTATTTTTCTTAACATAATGTCTACCAGTTCCATCTATGCTACTGCAAATGACAGAATTTATTCTTTTTATGGCTAAATAATATTCCATGCATATATATATATACACACACACCACATTTTCTTTATCCATTCATCTTTCAATGAAAATTTAGAATTCTATATCCAGTGGAAATATCATTCAACAATGTGTTAAATTGGCATTTTTAGATAAATTGAAGCTCAAAGAGATAGTTGGCATCAGACAAAGCCAAACTATAAGAAATACTAAATATAAATGTACAGATAATAAATATAAATAAAAAGAAATGGCACCAAATGTAGATGCCTAGATCTATGGGAAGGGGAAAAAACATAAAGAATAAACAAGTATAAATAGTAAAGACTGTGGGCAGGCCTGTGGCTCAAAGGGGTAGGGCGCCAGCCCCAAATGCCAGAGGTGGCGTGCTCAAACCCAGCCCCGGCCAAAAACTGCCAAGAAAAAAAAAAAGTAAAGATTGCTTTTTCAAATCTTTTGGAAAATATTGGGACAGTTTACAATAAGATTTGTAAAAATTAAAATAATAACAAAGTATGTGACATTGGTAACATGTACAAAAGCAAAATATGTGACGATTATAATACAAAGAGCAAGTGGAGGAAGGAAATGGAATTGTACCATTATAAAATTAACTCAAGTAATTTGCAATAAATTAAGAGTATGTACTATCATTCTTAGAGCAACCATTAAGTGACAAGCGAAAATAGCTATTTATTTTCTGGAGCTCCTCCCTTGAGGGTTAGAGCTTGCTTCCCCTCTGTTTGAATTAGCTGGTCTACATGGACCATGATATGTGGCTAAAGCGATGCTTTGTGAGTTTTGAACGAAGGTCCTGAGAGGCCTTGCAGCTTTTGCTCTCACACCCTTGAAATGCTGCCCCTCAGGGTGACACCCTGAGGATGAGACACAGACTGCCTGGAGGAGAGACCTGAACAGCCCAGCCCACCTAGCTGGGTCATCACCCTGCGCTATGTAGAACTGAGGCCCCCAGATGATCTGATTCACTGGATATCATAAGTAGATAAGTGCATGCTGTTTTAAGAAACTAAATTTGGAAGTAATTACTCACCAGAAAAATGCATATTGTGACTTTAGAGCAATTGCTTTAAAAACTAAGTAATAATGAGCATGACATAAACAATTATGACTAAAAAGCCAAAAGGGGACACAGAAAAGAATACTTTAAAAAAAGGAAAAAATGCTTGACTAATAGCAAACAGGACAGGAAAGGACAGCCAAGAGAGCAAAGAGCAAATTTCACAAATAAAAAACATATCACCAGGTAAAAGATATTTAATCACATTAAATATAAAGAAATGGATGGGTGCAGTGGCTCACGCCCATAATCCTAGCACTCTGAGAGGCCGAGACAGGTGCAATGCTTGAGCTCAGGAGTTCAGGACCAGCCTGAGCAAGAATTAGACCCCGTCTGTACTAAAAATAGGAAAAATAGCCAGATGTTGTGGCTGGTACCTGTAGTCCCAGCTACTAGGGAGACTGAAGGAAGAGAATCACTTGAGCCCAAGAGTTTGAGGTTGCTGTGAGCTATTGACACCACAGTACTCTACCCAGGGTGACAGAGTGAGACTCTGTCTCAAAATTAATTAATTAATTAATATATAAATAAGATATAAAAAAGAATGGCTCACTCCAACCAAAAGACAAAAATTGCCACACAATTAAAAGCATTAATAAGAATCTCTGTTTACATGCTATTTAGAAGGGACACAGTTGAAAGTAAAGACACAGATGTGTTGAAAATAAAAGAATGGCTCAGTGCCCATAGCCCAGTGGTTAGGGTGCTGGCCACATACACCGGGGCTGATGGGTTCAAATTCGCCCCAGGCCTGCTTAACAAACAAAAAAATAGACGGGCATTGTGGCAGGCACTTGTAGTCCCAGTTACTTAGGAGGCTGAGGCAAGAGAATCGCTTAAGCCCAAGAGTTAGAGCTTACTGTGAGCTGTGATGCCTCAGCACTCTACAGAGAGCAATATAGTGAGAGTCTGTCTCAAAAAAAAAAAATGGAAAATAATATGTCATGCAAACCCTAAGCATAAGAAAGCCAGGGTTGGTATGTTAATATTAAACAAAAGAAAGGTTTGAAGCATGGCAGACAACGTGGACCAGAAACAAATGACCAGCACTGCAAAGGAGCCTCTGGATCTTATCAGGCTCAGCCTGGATGAGTGAATTTATGTGAAAATGAGAAATGACTGAGAGCTTCAGGGCAGATTACATGCTTATGATCAACATTCAGATATGATATCGGGAGACTAGATCATGCCTGGAAATAAAGAAAATGTTTTAAACTGAACACTAAAGAAAATAAACATGAAGATGTGTGGATGATGCTAAAGCAGAGTTAAGAGTTGTAAATAATTATAATAGGAAAGAAAGATCTAGAATCAATGATCTAAGCTTCTAACCTCAAGAATCTAGAAAAAGATGATCAAACTAAATCCAGATAAAATAAAATAAAAGAAGTATTAACAATGAGAAAACAGAGCAATAAAATAGAAAACAAGTGAAATCAATTATACCTCAACAAAGCTGTTAACAAAAATAGATTCCTTAAAATCCAGTGTAGACAAACTTTGGTTCCTTGAAAAGATTAGTAGGGCGGAGCCTGTGGCTCAGTGGGTAGGGTGCCGGCCCCATATACCAAGGGTGGAGGGTTCAAACCCAGCTCTGGCCAAACTGCAACAAAAAATAGCCAGGCATTGTGGCAGGCACCTGTAGTCCCAGCTACTCGGGAGGCTGAGGCAAGAGAATTGCCTAA